TATAAGAGACAGCCCCAATGCATCTACAGAAAGGCACTATCTTTTTGTTCAACCTGGATGCTGAAGAGCTAATACCACAAATTACTGAGGCTGTGATGGGGAGCAGGCCAGAGAGGTGTCATTGGCTGTGTCTTCCTTGTCTTCTGGAAGGTCCAGGCATGGAGACCCGGCATGATGCCAGAGAGTACATTCTCTGGACTCACCCTCATGGCAATCCCAGGACTCGAGAGATGTCCAAGCAGACATTATATCTCACCCGATGATCTCTTCAAGACCTTTGTAACAGGGGCACATCTCCCGTGCTACCTCCAATGAGCAGTTGTTCGGTTTTCAAAATCACAGCTGCCTTCTTTAAGGCTTTAATTCTTTTATTAAATTTAATTAGATGCAGCCAAAAAAATTAAGCCTAAAATTTAGAATAATTTTCTGGATTGTTACAGTCCATAGGGAGAGAGTGGCACTTTCACGGGGCAGTTCTCATCTAAGGCAGTTATTTTAGTAACATAGAGATTGCCTTCTGCTCTCCAGTGACTGTAGAGGAAGCACAGATGACTAGGTCAGACCAGACACCTAAGTTTCAGTCTGATGAATTAGGGTGATGAACCTCACCATTACCTCTTTTAATTTAAATACAGGCAGGACCAGCCTCTCTATTTCTATAATTTCTATTTACTTTTTGCAAAAACCTAGGTATAGTGAGCATGACAGAACTGCTATTTTAAGCAATAGAACAGGAGATTAGGTTCAAAAAGCCCAGAAGTAGCCCTCAGAATTGATGGCACTGACGTATCATCAATGATTTGTTACAACACATGCTATTTCCAAAGCATATCTGAGAGCAAAATAGAAAAACAAGGGAGAAAAAGTTATTTGTTTTTTTCCCTCTCAATTTATGGAAAGATACAATTTAAATCTGGGTCTACCCTTTCTGGTCTGCATGACTTCATGTAGGAGTGTTTGGCTGTGTCTTGGATTACTGGTGGCTTTCTGGTTGTACAGGGAATACAGGCAGGTAAGCACCTGGCAAAGCATAAGACACATGTTTTTGTTTCTGTATGAACAAGCACATGGTCTTGCAGTTGTAACATTTGTGTTCTTCACCTCTGGAAACAGGGTATTTGAATGAATATTGCTGTCAATTGAAAGACAGGGTTTACAAGAAATTATACATAAAACTCTGTAAAGTGGTCTCTGTGAGAGACCCACGGGGAGCATGATAGAAAATGTAGAACTGCTTCAGGGACTTGCCCATTCTACTTGGTAAGACCCCAATCCTGTTGCTTGGTGCAAACATCTCACATCAAAGCAAGCAGCAGCTTCTAAAGCCCACTGAAAGGAAGGGAGCTTTCCAGTGGGGACAAATGCCCCTCCTATTTTTCAAAAAGATCCCATGCTCCTGAGAATGGCATTATGAACATCCTCCAATGTCACTGACAGTGACAAGTAGTGGTAATCCAAGAACAAGGAAGCAAAAGCTGGAAAATGCTTCCCCTTTCTTATGCCTCAGCTCAGGAAACTCATCACTTCTAATTCGTCTGATACTTCCTGCACATCACCCAGAGTCACAGGCCTGTCTAGCAGAGCATACACTTGGTAGCTTCACACAGCTGCATGGTAATTGTTTCTGCTGTGACTCAAACCCTTCCAGATCCAGCCATTGCTTCTTTAGTGACAGAAAGTGATCTCATTCATAGGTCTCTGATGCAGGGAGCTGAGGCATACAAAAAACAACTACAGAAATAAGAGCTGTTTCCCAGAGCGCTTAGCAAGCACCTAGTAGCTAGGTGTGTCTGTGGTCCACACCTATGAACTACTGCAAAGCTTTGGAGGGAAGGCAATTGCCTTGACTGGCTCATTGTGGCTAACACAACACATGCAAGGAAGTAACAGCCTTATGAACTCATCTCTCTCTGTGGCATCGTACACTCCGATCAGGTATCACAGAGGCTTATTTAACTGATACACTATTGGGTACCTTGCCAAATTTCTGAACCTTTGAATCCATTCCTGTTCCTAATAATCATCTGGCTGAGAGCTGATGCTTACCAAGTTACAGTGTAAGAAACAGTATCAGAGAGGTTACTGATCACACTGCCAGCTTTGTGCTTTGCTCCCAGGTGACCCATATCAAGTGTGTACAAAAGTACTTTGTAATTGTTGCTTCACATGACTTCCCCATGAACAAACACAATAATTGTTTTAGGTTTTAAAGTGGTCCCATTGGCAAGGAAACATGGTCTATCCAAATGTGTAAGAGAGGAATGTTTGAAACAATCTTGCTCTTTCCTTGGCATGGCTACAAGATAAAATCTGGAGATCTTGCTGTTTTTAAACCATGATCTCAGATCCAGGCAGACTGTAGAGTGACAGATTAGATGAGATTAGTATCTTGTCCTGCCAGAAGACAGCTTTAAGATGTCACAACACCACATGTCCTCTTCCAAGAATGAGAGAGGATACTAGTATCATTTACGTTACTCAATCCCACTCCAATAAGTCATCCTTTCAGTTAGTACATATCCTATGACAAGCAGCATGACATGAGACTATTCCAATCATCCTAGAAACCAACACCAATTAAAGCAAGTTATAGCATGGTTCTCCCCTGGGTAACTTACAGGTTAAATGCTTTCAAAATCATTAAATGTTTTCAAAATTATAAGTGGCTTGCTTTGTATCTTTACATGTCTACATAGTGGACCAAATACAGCCATCACATAAGCACTTGCAAGTGCTTCCATAATTGGTGCTGCTTTCTCTTGCACCAAAGGCTGAGTTGGGGCCAGTTATCCCCATACAATAGTTTCACTTAATGAGAAAGACATGACCCAGATTTCAGACAAAACAAGCAAGCTGGAAATTCCCAGGCTTGTTGCCATAGTTACTTGAAACCTACTGTTAAAAAGTGGGAAAAGAGGCAGAAGGAGGAAAAAGTAGGAAGAGAGCAATATCATGGTTGGGGTTAGGCCATGTGATAAAGGTAATAATCTTGAAGGAGAAGGACCTCAGTGATGACACCAGAAAGCCAATATTTCTGCCTTCCAGTTGCTATTGGGTGGTGCTGTGGACATTGGTTATTTTTAAGTGGTTATTACCACAGTGACGAAATGCAATGCACTGGCAGCTATTAGATCAGCAAAAGAAGGCAGGGATTGGGTAGAAAGAAACATACTTCTCCACAATTTATTTAATAACAAAATTGCCTCATTTTAGATCACCAAAGTGGTTGCTTTCCTACTTTACAAAGATAGTAGAACCTGCAGGAATGTCTTAGTCAGACTAAACTTTCAGCCTCTTTATAAGATGATAGCAGAAATACTCCAGCTCTATAGAAGCAGAACTGCAGATACATTACATTATGCAGTCAGCACTGTTCTTCTCCAAATGTAGACAGGATCAAAGTATCCTGTGAGATACAGGCTGAAAACCTAAGGGAGTTGGTAACTGTACTTCTCAATCTTTCCTGTATTACCATTCTATATTGTTGGTAGCCTATCACATTAGCATGAAGAAACAGGCCATAAAGGGCTTTTTGTTAAGCCCATAAATGGATATAAGACACTAGGAGGTTTTTCTATTCTTCCTCTCTATCTCATCTGTTTATTCCTGCTTTTCTTTACTCCCTTCCCTTTCTTAAAATCAGCATATAAAGCAATAACATGTGTCTGCACCTGTAGCAGTGTAACATAGGTTTATGTACCTTGGAAACACACACAGTTCAAGTAATATATATTTGATGATCTGATGCCCTACATATTAGTTGGACCATAGACAGCTTGCATCAGCATTCATGTGAAGGCACTGGAGTAGTTGGAAGGATGCTCTGTCCTAATCTGGGACTGTATTTTCTAAATACTTCTGTCAAAGCCTGTTTTGGTCCCAAGTAGCAAACTCTCCCTTTCTTGCTGCCTTCTCTCAGTCTATAAACTTAGAGACCTTTTCTTGTCCTTCCCCCCTGCCCCCCCAGTTCTCTACAGTGCTGTCCTTGCTCAGATGGCACCATTGTGCTTTGTACAATGAAAATAAAAGATAACCCACAATGCTATGGAGAACTGTGTTTTACTCAGAGCTGGCAGGCTGTATTTGCAGTACCATGGCTAAGAGTTTTCCCGCTGGTTTTAGAGTATGGAAAGCTCAATTCATAGACAAGTCATAGAAGCAAAATGAAGAAAAAGAATGTATCATACATAGCAGCATTAACTGAGATTATTATATAGCACAAGACAGCTGTGGGAGGTTGAACATAATTCACTATAGGTAGCTGTTATTACCCTCATTAAAGACAACTTGTAAGCAATTTCTTCTCTTCTGACCCCACAATTATGGTTATTGCTTTTGGTTCATTTATTACTGTGCTATCAAATGACCTCCACATTTGAATCATAAATTAGCAAGCTTCCAGATCAAGGACACTTAATCTTGGAAGAGCAGAAGAGATTGTGAGCTACTGTAATGCCATAGTAAGTTACAGTCTAAGTCTCCCCTTGAAGAAGTGGGTCAAGAGATCTCAAGCTCAAACTGGGTAGAAAGGGGAATTAACAGGCAGACTGAGTGCTTAGCTGGTACGGTTGCCCACTTGATTTCCTAAGGGTGTCGCATTCCTTAGCAGCAGTCTAGCAGCACTTGCGCAGAAAGGTGAGAAATGTTTTTTCTGTCTGCAAACATGGAAGACAAACAACAGCTAATGGTGAAGCAGCAGCCACTGCAGCAAGACAGGAAAGGCCATGCCATTCCCAGTTTTACTGGGGTGGAACAGGAGCAGTACACAGAGGACTGTGTGGGATCAGAGCAGCACATTTCTAGTGGCAGAACATATCCTACCATTGAAAAGTTATTAGGATTAAAGCAAACTATGAAATTAAAACCAAATAGGTGTTCCAGAATAACAGCATGTAGAGACAAGCCCTAAAGTCTTACAAATCAAATATAAACACTGAGCTCTAATTTTGGATTATTATTAATCAGCAGAGCTGGCACAGTCACATTCTTTTATCCAGTGCTACTTGGAGGGGTGGAGGAGGAGGGAAGCCATGAGCTCCACGAGGGTATTCTGACTCAATGATATAAAAATCTCCCTAGTCTCTTTAATTTTGAATTATTCCAGACACCACCATCCCAGAATGGCCATATGCCAACATGTCTCAGTATTTTGTGCCAGAGGAAGAAGGTAAAAATGAACAATTATTCACTGCAATAATTACTCATTTCTTCTTCGGGTTCTTCCCCACCCCTCCATTATTTACACAAATAAATTGTATGTAAATGGCCTGATAAACGGTGCTCTGAAAGACACAGGTCACAAGCCACTTGGTGGCACTCCACCCATATAAACTTTTTTTGTCACTCGACAGACTGACAGGCTGTGGAACATCCACCCCAGGCCAGAGTTCCCCATCCCTTCAAATCCCATGGAAGATGCTTTACTCCACCTCTTCTCCTATTCGTAGAAGCCTATCCAGACTGCAGGAAGCATCACTGGTTTAAAACCTTATCAAAAGAATTTAGACCCTACTTCTCACCTGCAATTCACTCCGTGCACTACTCCAGTATGAAAGAACTTGAGCCTTGTCACAGTGAATGGATAGGGGGAAGAACAGAAAGAGGTAGAAGAAAATACATGAGAAAATAGGGTGCAGGCAGCTACCAGGAAACAGAAAGATAAAACTCTTGTAAATGGTGTGCCCTAGGCAGGGAAGTTAAGACAATCAGCAGCTAATGAACAGTGATCAAAGCAGCATATGAAAACACATTTCATACTTATGAAGTTCAAACTCACCTGTAAGTTATCTTCTCCCCAGAAATAAGATAACAAGCAGATAAGGGTAACTGATTATCTCATTTATACAAAAGTCTCACATCTCTTCCAGGACACTTGGAGGGAGAGAAGATGATCACTTTTGTGACAAGACAGCAGTACTGAAGGGGCAGCTTTATGCATTTGCTTTTCTAAAGTGATAAGTAGCAGTCAGCACTAGTTTTGCCCATCCAGCAGAGCATGCCCTATAAACCATTTTCTTGTAGGCCTGATACAAGATTTAGCCATCATGCAACAAGGAACACAAAGATTAAAGCAAGTCTTTTAATTGACCATCTTATAATTGCTAGAAGACAATATGTAAATATTCACCTAGCTGCGTAGCGAGAGCCCTGAATTCAAACCTGCCTACCATGGCAGGAATTCTCAGTCAAGTACCCACACCCCCTTTTCCTTGGAGGGGGAAAAGAGGTGCTAGGTATTAGGATCCAGAGAACACTTGCCTGAACTTTGTACTTACAAAGGATAATACCATTTACTTTTTTCAGCCTTTTTTGCTTCATGGTGTTACAGTAACAAAATGACACTCCATACTAAAATTTCACTTAAGGATCTGATATCACAATATAATAAACAAAACTTTTCAAAGTGTTGAAGGGACTTATTGCCATTCGGAACGTGTTTATTGTTCAAAAACACTGCACTGAAAAAAATCCATCACATACATTCTTTATCATCTAATATCTGTACATCAATGTAACTTTCAGGCAGGTCATGCAGGAAAATCATTCTCCCAATGAAGTAAAAAAACCTGAAAGGCAGCTTGTGTCCTTCAGACTCCAAACAAGTTAAGTTTTTGCATGTATAGGATTACATACAGCTAGAACAACTCAAACAGTAGGAAAAAAATAAAAATCAATTTATAACTTCAAGAGCAGTATCAGACTTTGTTGCCTTCCTTCATTCAGTGCTATGCTTTTGCTTTTCTGAGTCTTCTTTAAATAATGTGCGACTTAAAAGTATATGTTAATGAGGTCTCTTTACTGAGACAAGGCATGCAGTAAGGGAAGAGGGATAACTAGTCACTTCCAGGCTGCCTTTCCACACATTTGTTCTTGTAGATTAGCAAGCCATTGCTTAAGTTAAAAAAAAAAAAAAAAAGAAAAAAGAAGAGAACGGGAATGAATGCACCCAAGTTAAATGGCTTTTAAAAATACATTAATACATGGAACAATGATACCACCTACAGTTGTTTACTGACCTCTGTTCATGTTGATTTGAAAACAAGTTTTGTCAAGCCATCACAGGCCACTTTTGTAGACTGTTAGATAAAAAAATTGGGTTTCAAATATTGCTTGTTATTCAGATGACTAACTCTTTAATAAAAGGGTAGTTATTAGGGACCTGTAAGGCAGCAAGACTTTAAATGTGATGGTTTAAATTGCTGAATAGTACTTTTTAAAAGGCAATGTAAAAAAATTAGTAGGAGGATTCTTGGTGGGGTCATTCATAATGGGTGTTTCTGTTTTATCCCCATTGTAACTGTCACGGCAACTGTAGATGGCAAGTCTTCCTTGGTTCTAATTCAGGATGAACACATTCCCTGGCTTATTTCAAGTTAGACATTTAGTTCTTTTTCTCCAGCCTGCCAAGAGAAGAACAGCTTTTGTAAGAGTGAATATTGAACTGCAATTGCTACAAAAAATCTGGACTTACAGTAGAACTTTAGGAATAAAGGACATTTTGCCAGTTATTTATGCAAAGGCAGGTTCACTTGCCATTTTAGTCAGTCTCATTTTTAAAATTTATATAGTTCAGGAACCTTCATCCTCCCACTGCTCCACACGGATTTCTTGGAGCAGAAGGGAGAAAAGCCATAATCCTGACTCATCGGGATTGCTCAGGGCAGTGTCTGCACTACTTGCTACACAATGAGGGTGTGAGACTGCTTGCAGTCTGTTTCACTGTCACACTCAGTTGTATCTACCCCATATATAGAACAGTCAGCTTAGAGAGGTTTTGCTTGATTTCTCTCAGACATAGAACCTCCTCACAGTTTTATGGATGTTTCCATCTCAGGAATCAGCTACTGAGATGGACACATGCAGACTATCAACAAAATACACAAAACAAACACCAACGTAGCCAGCAGCTGCTGAAAGCCCTGTCTACATCCACAACCATAAGGGTTTTCAGCCTTTTCTGTCTGTGCTCCTCAGAAGCTTCAAAGGAGGTGCAAGTCAACGAGGAGCCTACTGACAAGCAGCTTGTTAATAGATTTGCAAGAGGTAATGAAGTTAAACAAGTTCAGAAACCATGCAGGGGTTTGCACTACAGCTAAGAGGTACTAACAGTATTCCAAGAGCCATCAGTTTATGACTTGCCCTTTTAAAAAGCATGACTTGCCTGTATTTGATCAGTCGTCCTCCTTGAATAAGTTGTGCAACTTCATTAGTCAAGTGGCATGCAAAAAGAAGCCAGTTCCTTGGCTGCACTTTGTAGGCAAATCTCATGAAAGTCAAGGAGTAACAACACAGTGCTGCAAAACATGATAGATACTATTAGCAGATTATTTTTAATATCTGCATCTTGGTGAGGCTTGATTTTCATACAAAGGAAGTGTAATAGCAAATACAATGCTTCTCACTGCTTTTGAGTTTTCCAATAGTCCTACAAATTTGTCCACTTGGACAATCCAAAGCAGGAAAGCACACAACAGTGCTCATTTTTGCTACACACAGAAATCTACATGGCTGCAGGTTTCCACAAAACCTAATTTTCCTTATATGTTTGCCTGCAATGCAAGTGAAGCCTTTTTAGTTTATTACCTAAACTCTTGGCCAGAGAGTAAGAGTTAATCCCAGTGAAACACAGCTTGCCATATATGATTATTCTGACAATTTCTAGGACAGTTTTTAATTACTTAAACACAATTTTTGCTGGGAACATTCTAAATGGACTTTAAGAGAAGGATGCTTCCATCCTCAGGAGATAATGAACATTCAGAAGCATAAAGCTTTGTTACCTGCTTTCCAGGAAGATGAAAACCAATTTTAATCTACTCACAACTGCATTTAAATAAAAGAAATTACAACCCAAGAAATCACTAGCTTTGCAAAGTTCTGACAGGCTTAAGGACGGAAAAAAATTTGTACAGACACCACCCTTGTAAAAACTAAAAGTGTCTCAACTTTGCTAAGCTGGGTAGCTGCCACCGAAACACTACTTGCAAAACAGTTTCACTATACCAGAGACTATTTGAACAAGTCTTCCATCTTGAGGAAGCTGATTAAGAGACTGAATTATTCAAAGCAAAGCCTAGTGAGCATGAGGCTATAAATTTCCCTAACCCAAAGGTATTTGGCTTTGGGGAGAAGAATTACTCAAAATTAAGCTAACTGAGTTCAAGATGAAACACAATGCCAACATTAAGCTACTAAATTAAAGCTATCAGATTTATGATCCTAGGGACTATGCATGCTCAAAAAAAAGGCAGAAAAAACATTGCATATGCATTTAAAAAGAAAATCTCACATTATTCCATTGAGAGTCATGCTAGTCTCTCACAAGCAACTGCTTTGCAAGGAGTTAACCTCTCTCAGCTGCTTTTTTTGCACCCTGCAGACCAAGCACTACTATTTCTTCACTCTGTCAGTGTTGATATAAGTCTCGTGCTATCCACAAGGCATCGCTGTTCTTAATACAAATAATAAAGTTGTGTGAAAAATGCATTCTGAAGCAGTGGGTGCAGCAGTATAAGATACCAAAAGAATTATACTTGGAGTGAGCCTGGTGATCAAAACCGCTAAGACTCAAGACCCGCCTCCCTCCCCCCAAATTACTGGAAAGCTCTCCAAAAGAAAGCTCCACAACTTTTCAGTACTTCAATTTTATGTGGCCTCTGAAGTTACATAACAAGATATGTGATATCTTTATCTGTTTGGATCACAAGTTTGCAAGCAACTTGTAGCATATCACTGCTTGAAGGACAGAATCTGTGTTCTGTAGTCAGTTTACTGGCAAGAAGGTTCTCAGGTCTTACCAAATGTCATTCGGCCACTGATTATTTCTGGAGATTTCTTCATGTCATTAATAGCAGCAACAGGAAGTCCCCAGTTGGCAACTGGCCCCCAAAAGTGCTGTAAAAAGGGAAAAGGAAAATAAAGTTACACAGAAACAGAGATCTCCTGCAGTATTCTTAGTTTTCTTTAGCCACAAAAAGCTTCAGAGAACAGGATTAAGGGTAAATTTCCAAGACAAGACAGGGACTACTTTTGACATAAGGGAGAAAAAGTAAACCCTTCTTTTAGCAGGATCTAGTCTTCAAGAGGGAAGGAAAAGAAACCCACTCTGAATCTTCTTGCAGACTGGCGAGGAACTACCGTAAGGTCATTGAAATGCATTTTCGTGTAATTATACCTCAGCCATCAGTAAGCAGTCTGATTGATATAGTCATATAATAAACTCAGATTTACAGCTCTGTGCAGAAAATTAGTATTCATCTCTCAAATGAGGCTCCTATAAAAATGTAATGAAAACAGACTTGATGAAGTGAAGGACTGGAACCGTTTTCACATTCTGCTGAAAATGAAGAAATACTCAGCAAGCATCTTCTTCCAAGTGCTTACACCATCTTTTTGAAAGACCGGGTCAATGCAACAAAACCAAATTGTAACCTAGAGCTTCAACTGCAATTGCTGAAACAAGTTAGTGACTACCTAAAACTCAAGTGATTAGACAGACATAAGAGCAGAGCCATTAGCTACAGGTGTGTATACAGCTAAAAAAAAGAGAAGTGGAAAGAATCAAGCCAGAAAACCCCGACAAGAGCTCAATTTGATGGTTACTGTCTTAAAAAACTCCAAACAGAAAAACAGTGTCATAAATCCAATCTCCACTACTGTTATGATAACAAGGCTTCAGCTGATTTCTTTCCACAGGGGATGCACATGGTACTTGCATCAGCTTCTCCTAATGGGAAACTAAGGATGCAAAAAGTAACTTGGTCAGATATGGCATAAGATACAAAACTTGCAAGAAAAAGCTCTGCAGATGCCAACTATACCCACTGACACTTCCCCTAAATTAACACTGCAGCTACTACAATGATTTCCAATTGTCAGGGGATATACGAGTTTCTTACAGTTTTAATCCCAAAATACTCCTGGCTGCCAGTCTGGATACTTGCGTGTAACACTACAGTAAGATTAAAAGCCAGACTCGCTTCCTGCAAATTTGGATCACAATACAAGAAACTTAAACTCACTTTTTTCTATACTTTTTTAGTTAAGTTGTACACACTTTTTATAAACAATATAATATTTCTGCAAGCATCTACTGAACATGCATTGGTCCAAACTCAGATTTATAAGAAGAGTATTTTGAAGAGTGCAATAAATGCATTCGTTTACTATACTCATAGGATAATTGACATCTGTAATGGTTAAAGCCTCTCAAGCATGTCAGAGGTAACAGCATAACTGTGAAGAGTTGTATGGCTACATGGTATTTACACTGTACAACCATGGTTAGATAGTGTAAAGAAAATGTACCTATAATACCATTCATGAGATATGTTGCAACAAAACAAGAACATTCACAGAAAACTCAGCAGCACACAAGATGATCTTTTAGAGGCTTTAATGTAGGTATTTAAATAGTTTTAAAGGACAATAAGAGGGCCAGAAACAAGCATCTAGTCACAACTGTGATTATCTGCACAGTGAGACAGCAAGACAACTTGTTTTAGCATCACCACACTAAAGCAGACTGGAAAAGGTAAATGGTGAGACAGTACATATACTTGGTGAGGTTTTTACAGTCATTTCAGGAATCTCATTTAAACAACTGTAGTTTTAGAAAGAGTCCTTAAGGCTCCAAACCTAATTTTTTGAATCTATAAAACAATTACAGCTTTGAGAGTCTTAGCGATTACTTCTGTTTTGGAAAGTAAATCAAGTCAAGTTGCCATTTTTATTTAATTCAACTGGCATTGAAACAAAGAAAGAAAACACTATAGACTATGGACCACTTCCAAGCTCAGGCTGCACAAGCTTGTTCAGTTTACATCCCAGCAGTGCTAGAGCAGTAACTTTCCTCTGCTGACCAGGGAGGTAGATTTGGAACCTTCTCATTTGAGATGGTTATCCAGTTTTAAATGCCTCCAGGCAGGCAGGCCTTTGAAGTTTCCACACACAAGAATTAAACTACACCTGTACAGTTTGTCTTTGGTCTACACATAACAGCAAGTCTTCCATAACATTATGATTCACAATATAACAGGCATAAATACCCACTCCCAGTTTCAGGAGCAAACTGAAAGGCTGAAGGAAAGAAGAGTCTGTAGTGAGTGTTATATGGTATTTATTGTCTGACAAAGCTGGTTAAAAATAAGCCAAGCAGTTTGGTTAGGTACCACTATTGTTGCTATGCAGAAGAGTAGCTCTAGATGGGTCTGATCTTAGCAAAGGATATGGAAAAAGTGAAGCCCCTTTTGTTTCATAGTGATTACTTTAGGAGACCCTCTGAAGGAGCTAATTTGGTCACCTTAACCTCAGACTAGCAAATAAGTAATACCAGTGCATCAAGGCTGGAGGTTCACAGTATGTGTTTCAGATGCAGGCAAGGTCGTAACAGCGGTGAAGCAAAAAGACTGCACATTACTGAAGTCAGGGAGAACTTGAAACCAGAAGTCCCCTCTTTTTTCTTACCGTACTGTTCAAGTGAGCCATCATTGTTTTCCATTCAAAAAGCACATACAAAAAAGAAGAAAAAAAGTGTTAGTTTCTTTCATAATCAACATTGAGAGAAGTGTACTACAAACAGAAGATAAGTCAGGAAACTGCTGTGGCATTAACCTCGATTAACATAACAGCATTAAAATCTCATTTCCCTGAAGAGCTGTCACTGTAACAAGTGTCTGCTGCTCAAGTATCATTTTCCTATAAAGACCTATTATGGTCTGTGGAAGACCTTCATCCCCTGTAGACTTCAAAGCCTCCAAGATCCCATCCAACTAGTTTAAAGGGAAGTCAAAAGCCATTGAAGTTTGTCACACAAAGCTAAAGCTACAATTCCTCTGTGGAAGCTTTGTAGAAGTTGCTTGGAATTCTCTGTATATCTACTTAAGTAGGTCAAGCCAAACATTGCCAGAGATCTTACTGCCACTAAGCTCAGGCTAACTGTGGCTGTACCAAACATGAGCTATAACACATTTTCAGTTATCTAACTCACATGACTGCAGTGTAATTGCATGGGTTTCATTTAAATGATCATCTAGATACCAATTTATGTAATAATTTAATCATCTATGTATGAAAACTAGACTACAGCATATATTTAAGACTGTTTGCTACCATACCTTTTAAACCGCTTCAGAATTTTTAAACATCATCTTTCTAACAAAGATACTAATAGGACTTGGTTCTGAATTATGACTTCCAAGAAACCAGCTACTAACAGAAAGCCTACTGCTGATGGATTGCCACTCACCTGCAGTTGGGAGCAGCAGTTGAACACTTTGTAGCAGTCACTTCCCTCACACTGATCTTAGATCTGTTATACAAACAACTACAGTAAGGGAATAGTCAGGTATACTTAGGAAGTCACACTGGATGTGCATTTTAGAAAGCCTTTATTACAAGCCACGGGCTGGTTCAAGATGCTTTGTCAGTGTGTCCTTGACTAATGTAACCACTGGTTTTTGTTTTCTTACTAACTGAACAGCAATAGTTAATTGAAGTTCACAAGAAAAATGCACACTTCAATTTTTTCATAAAACCTTAACTAAATGAGTTCAAATGTTTTTATGCCAACAGAAGTCAGCCTTCATTTTTCGAGTGGAAGTTGTTTTCAGGCAAGTGGAAGCCCAAAATAGAATCAAACCGATGCTATTTTAACAGTGTAGGCAGCTCCAGCTAAGGCCTTGCAAGGTTGTCCTCACATTCACATGAGACTGGAACAGTTATTATACTCCTAGAAGAGGACACATCAAGGTCAGATAGACTCTTCCAGAAGCAGACATTCAGCCCCAAAGCTCTGCAGCCAATACAGCTGCAATAAAAGCACCACATCCAACAGCAGGGATACTGCAGCAAGTGCACGCATCTATTCCTGAAGTGACTCCATGCCAGATTAGTAGTTTCCAAGAACCACATTCAATCCCTTGACAAAGGGAACACTTTGTACTCATGTTTCCAGAACTGTGGACAACAGTTGTTAGATTTACTCAGTTTCTCTCTGTCTAGACATCACAAGAAGAACCAACAGATGATCAATACCTTATATTGTTACTATAATTAATTCCAAAGAGGCCATACTGGGGGAGATTTGTTTTTCCAAAGTTTTCACATGTATTTTTCTCATACTGGCACTGAGGATATTAATAGGCCAGAAACCATTCTGCAAATATAGATGAACAGCCAACACTCGTTTCCCCTTTACTGTCATCCATTAAGTGGAAAGGGTACTACCTTTCTGCAAAAGTTAAGCTGTACAGTTCTCAGAGCATAGAAGACAATGACAGCAGGCACCATGTCCTTCAGTTTCTAGCACAGACTATTCTTTTTTTAAAGTTCTTATGTCCTTGTGTTTAAAGATTTACTAACTAGGAGAACTGAAGATGAGCCAATTCTAGTTATATTACTGATGCTAACTCTTCTAAAGTTCATCCCAATTAAGAAAAAAGGTCCTAGACAGCTTATGTCAACATAAGAGCTCAAGCTTTACAAGGGATGAACTACCTATTTCAAAGCCAGCTACATTAACAGTCACTACATTTGCATTACTGCTGAGTCATCAGGAAGAGACATTTCAGAAGTACCCCAGAAGATGGCAATCCCCACACCTATTTCTCTATTACCATAAGATTTTATGACTCCTTGGTATTCCTTATGTGACTAAAGCAGTTTGGGCTTCTACAACAAGAAGATGCCAGAGCTTGCCTGGGGTGGCTTATAGGTCTCTCAAAAGAGGAAGAAAGCTGTTTTACTGGATGATTTTCAGAAAATACTGTTTTAAATCATTAGCATAGGAAGTAAGCGGACTCAGCTGCCTACTATTAGTGGCTTACATGATACAACTTTAGTGACAGCTGACATTTTTACAGTCTATAGAAAAAATGCAGCTTCAAATTCACAATATATAGAGCTACCAAGCTTTCGTATGCTAATCAGCTAGTTTTAAATTAACATTAGTGCTCCATTTACAAGTAGAAAAAGTCTACCAACAGTTTACATTCTTACTATGCTTACTTTAAAGCATTAAGATTTGGTTAGTGTAAATTTATATTTACGTGATTTACAGCCATTCAGATCCCTGTTAATCACCACTTAATAGAAGGCAGATGTGAAACTGGCAGAACAATTAATTATTAATGACAGTTTTAAAAGCAATTTATCTTGTTTCTTTGTGCAAGATCCAAAAGCTAACTCATGATGTAATGCAATTCTAACACCAGATATATTCACCTGAGAAAAGCAGCATGCATTCATCGCACTGGTTTTCACATGTACTTTTTCACAAAACATGCTTTCATGTTTTCAAGTTATGAAGCTGGAACTGAAGCTACTTATTCCCATAGATGCCTGCAAGTTTGGACTGCCCCAAGCCATAATAATGGAACACTCAAATCCACTGCTTTGGGTAACTTCAGTTATTCTATTTAGGGTCAAGCAAGTTAAAAGCACAACACTGGTATCGCAAACAATATCTCAATTCATCATTTCCCACAAACAAGTTTCACTTTTAGAACAGATACCATAGTCTCAGAGCTTTGAGGAAACTCTTGCTCTATGAGCAAGGCAAGAAGGGAATTTTCTTCAGGATAGAGTCTGTAGTCTGGGGAAGTAAGAGCCTTCTTGGCTGGAAATGGGATGGAAAGAGGTAACAGCTCTAAAGTATATACACTCCATTTCTTCTGTGGAGAAGAGGGATTACAGTCTTTTATTGACAGTTATCTAAATGTTAAACTCAGCATAAAGCTAACAACCCAAGACACTTGTCTCCTAGTAAGCAAGAAACAATGCTGAAAAGCCATACCAGATGGAGCAACTGACTTTAGCCCTTCGTGACACACCCAGTAACAGAACTACAAATTAAGCAGGTATCTTCATATGTAACAAGGCAGAACCCATCCCGCAAAAGTAGAATCCTGTGCAATGCTCTTTTCAATACATTCTTATTTATTTAGCTTATTTCAAGACTAGAACGAAATACATCTGAAACATTTGTTTCAGCTGCTACCTTTTCAGTCTTCGGTAAGGAAAGAGATACTTTCAGTACATAACTGTGGTGGTGTTAGGAAGTAACCACTATTTCTTACAGATTTTTGCTTTTATAATTACAGACTACTGTTTTACTGACCATTTACATGCTCCACACCAATTGTGGCACAGTTAGTTAAATGTTAACATTAAAAATGCATCTATCAAGCTTACACAATATTCTCAAAAGGAATCCACAGAGAAGCTCACTCTAACCTTCCTTCGTTTTGCTTCAAGGATGTTCTCTTCCTTCTCATATTTTACTTGTCTTACTGCCCCCCAATTCTGTGGGACTTGATTTTGCAAATGCCAAACAACCTGTTCTGCTTACTGACTTTTTATATTGCAGTCTCTCTTCCATGCAGGCTTACACCACCTTCTGCTACTTTAACCAAGACTAAGTTTCTGAGATAAACAGATGTCCTCCTACATGCTTGCTCAACATCAAACACCAGTTGCAATAGATGTAGGTAGAACAGCAAGCAACAGCTATAGTGAAAAGTTGCTCAACCACCTTTATTGGAAGAGCCCATTTTTATTTGTTTAGTTTTGTCAAACTGCTAGCCAAAGAAACGTCAGCCTACCTACTCGAGACTGTTCTTGTGCAGCAGTTCAACCGGATTTAACCAAGTATGCTGCAACTGTATCTTGTGATTTCAGTTCAAGATGCCATACGCCTTACCACCCCCCACACAGTGAAGCTTGACAAAAGTATTGAGCTGTCTGGGAGATGATTTAAGCCACATTCCCATGAAAGCAGGGCTCTAACAACTCTCTGTGAAAAGTACCTATCTGCACATACTCAGACTTGAGACTGCATCTGTTACCGAGCTCCTTCCGTCCTTGCTGCGGGCAGCGGCCAGAGTGCCCTGGCCCCGGCTGCCCCCTCCGCCCGCCCGCCGGCCGAGGGGCAGCGCTCCGCGCCACACGAACCCGCGGGATGGAAGGAAGGTCACGGAGCGGCGCAGCTGCCG